AGTTCAGGAAGAACATATGCACAAACATTCCTTACCTGAAGCCAAAGTTCTCTTTCACTGGATACTAGAATGGTGGGAGATAAATGGAAAAAAAAAACAAAAACAAAAAAAAACCAAAAAAAAAACCAAAAAAAACCCCCAACATTATTTTCTTTATTATTTTCTTTTTAATCTACCAGTATTAGTCTCGTGTGTCTATTCTGTGTGTAGCAAAAATTTAACTTGTTGTGAGACAATATTATTACTTTATTAAGAAATAATAAATGCAAGTGCATTCAAGTTGTTACATCAGCAGTTACAATGCTGATCTGTAAGAKGGCATAACAATCCTTCAGAGCAAAACAAGTCCTTTCACAACCACCTCATTCTGGGCACCACCTTTCTCTTGATTATATATAAACAGCAAAACAGCTGTCAACTCCTAAACTCACTCAAATGTCCTTTTAATCTGGTTTTGGTTCACAGCATAAGCACTTTCTAAGGTTAATCCTGAATAGGCATACGCTCAACAAAAATAACCACAAAAAGAAATTAAAATATTGTAGGTAGAGTTTGCAGAACTAGTAGGAATTGTGTTAGTAATTAATGAGAAAATAATTTTATCATTGCTCCTATCTTAAACCYCAAAAGGCAAGGCCAGTCCCTGTGAGCAACCTAATCTGGTGGAGCTGAAGTTTGTCAGGAAAGTGAACAAATCATATAAACACGTTAGTTAACTGCTTAATTGCTTAGTTATATCTCAATCTTTAAGTCATATGGAAGAGAGGGAATTTAGATATAAAACATACTGGCTTGTTTATTTACATTTTGACCACAGGCTCTGCTTAAAAAATATCAAAAGAAGCTCAGTTGGAGTTCCACAGATCATATTATTTCTGAAAGAAGACATCTAAACTTGAGTACAGCATTAGCAATGAGAAGAAATATTGCATTATTAGGTTAAATTGACACAGTTTACCCAATTCCAAATCCCACCCAGAGATCTGAAATCATTACTTTCTTGCCCAGAAATGTTGGTTAACTAAACAGGTAGTTTTACAGGTAGTAAACAGGTCAGCAGGAAAGTGAAGTTTTATGGTCAGCCAAAATAGTTTTGTGCAGGAAAAATGCTGGATTCTGTACCWGTGAAAATAATATTATTTTGCTAATGTGATAATGGATTAATTTTTTTAAAGGTATTTCAACATGATGCTTTAAAAATGCACACTCAAAATGCAGGAAATGCCATTTTTCAAGATCACACAAGAAAGATGAGTTCTACTCATTCGTGTGTATGTGCATTACGCTGTTACAATTGCACACTCACCTTTTCTTCAGAGAAGTCTGATATTACCCTAATTAAGACAAATGTATGAGAAGATGTAATAATAACCACTCGTGCATCAGGAACCTGGAACTTGACAGTGGTTTATTTCCATTGATTTGCAGTCTGAATACCATGTACGGGTTTTCTTGTACAAACAGATTTTAAATACTAACTCCAGAAAAAAGTGGCAGAAGTATAATATATTACTGTACTGCTGTATCTTTTTATTAATACTATAAACTTGCTTATAAAAAAGACAGATTATAAATTAAAACTGAACAGGAAATATGAAAGCCACTTTTTTTCAACTAAAATACACATGTACATGTTATAAATCAGCCTGTATATTAGTAAAAAGTTCAAAGTTTAAATTTTTCTTCTTCTTTTAAAAAGTTCTGATGACTACACAACTGCATTTGGCAGAGCTGATGTCCTTTCAAAGTTACTCACCTCACTGGATGCTGCACATGACCATGCAATCCCRAAATGGAACAATCTTTTTAACACTGAGGCTGAGGAAGTTTTTTCATTTCAAGCTATTTTGCACCAACATCCTCAGAACACCTACCACTGCCTATCAAGAAACTGTTAAATAAATACAAGAGTATAAGCAAATTAAAAGCAAAAAACAGTTATTGCCTGGTACTTGTCTCTGTTGTGAGATATCTGTCATCATTTTCTGCTTGGATTCAGAAGCTAAGCATGAGCACACTGACAAATCACTAAAGCAAATTTGAAATTTTATCCTCAAAAATCCTATCAACCAACTTTGACACCAGAAGAGAAAAAGCAGACAGAAGGAATATTCGTATTCAGGTGCTTTTGTACATTTGTAAGGAGTAAGGAGTACTAAAATTTACAAGTGGCATTAATGAAACATTTAACTTGCACACATAGAGTGTACCAGCCAAATACAACAGGACGGACAAAACCCAGTAGCTGATGTTAAACAATTTCCACGTGTCCTAAGGAAGGTGCTACACACAAACTGTCATCCACTGAATTTTCTGAAGAGCAAGCCATTCACTGGGATAGAAAACAATGATACTGACATAAATCTTCCCTTTCCTACTCGCCCACCACCCTTATTTTRGGATTCACTCGCTGCAAACCAATTCAGCTCTTGCAAACCTTGTTTTGTGTAACAGAGACTGTTCAACTCACATGAAAATTCTCACGTATCCATTGCACATATAGTGACAGAATGTCATCATCTCAGCAACATAAGGAAYTCCTGAAATGAAACATCCAACGTGTCAACTAATTCATGATTGTGTTGTAAAATACAAGCAAAAATAGCATCACAAAGCTCATGCTCCCTCAGACTGAAGCTCACATTTGCTCAGKTTAGAATTAAAGCATTTTCTACCTGACTTATAGACCATACAAGTGCATATTGAAAATCAAGCTCTTCTTCTGACTTATTATCAATTATAAAAAGTCTGTTGACCAAAGTCCCTGGACAGGYCTAAGGATTAGCTGAGTTATGCAAGTGACTAGTGAAGGTTAAAATAATCAGGCACTGAAAGTATGAGCCAGGACAATATTTGTCCTTCCTTGTTACTGGAATTGTTGAACAGAGGACATAAGGGAAAACTTGCATCTATGTCCGCTTTTGCTGGGGGCAAGTGACAATGTTAAAAGCAGYTCTGCAAAGCTCCATCCACATTARAAAGACTGCTTTCATAAAACTACTCCATGAAACTGCCTCTGCTCCCACTCAAGCAAGGCACCACCAGCTTGCACCTGAACCCAGTGTCTCAGCTGAACTTTAAACACCACAGCTATTCAAATAAAAATTCATTTTCCAAGTGCCCAAAATATCTGAAATGCCATTTTTGTAATTTCCTTTTAGACACAGTACGTAATGTAAGCTGCAAAAACAAGTGCCTCATTACATGCTTCAGCAGTACASCCTCAATGTCTTTGCAAACTAGTTCAACAAGTAACCTAGTTTTTTTCAAATTCCTGAAAGTTATCTGCGTGTCCCCGTGACTCATGCAGTAGATAAATTGCTGAGGAACTCTGTGGGAACCCATCCCAGGGTCCTGCACTGCTCATTTTTAACACTGCTTATTCTACTTGTGATATTTTAATATCATTTTTATCGCACASAGTGAACRCCATGCAGTACCRACCCTTTTCGCTTASCTTACTGAGCATTTCTAAGGTTTGTGACCACAATCAKGATACAGCTAAAAATGGTAATTTTAGAAGACCGAAAATAAATGCGTTTGAGGTTTTTTTTGGAAGTTTGGGAATTCACAACTTTGAATTAATTAATTATATCCAACCCAAAACTTAAGCAGCCCAAATGAAATGTTTTTAATCGGTTAACACATCACTCATATTTACTGATGCTGTATTAATASTTTCATGTTTAGAGTCATGTGAGTAGTCATTTTCCCCATAAACTACCTCTGTTCCTGATGCACACATCCATGACTGTAACTCTGCCTTGCTCTCACCTCAAAACTCGGCTTTCCAAAGATTCAGTAGTTAAGAAATAGTGGACTAGAAAGACTGGGTTTTTTTCCATYGTCTGCACTTTAAAGGAAAAGCACAACCATGCGTAAAGAAAATGAGCAAAAATACTGTATTTACTAATTTCCGAAAATAACGTAATACTTAAATCTACCTTTTGTATCGCATAAACCAGTAACAAATATACACAAAATCGTTGTCCTGCAGCTCTTTATCACATGTGCTCAATTAACACTGATGCATTTCAGCTATGTAGTTACTTTTTAATCCTAACTTTCACCCACTACGCTTCTGCTGTTTAAGGATGGGGCCTTCTACTATTTTGAAATCAGGGTCTGATTTATAAACACACATGCACGTTTGCTAATACATTTTAATAACTTGCAAGGCATTTCCATCTTGTGAGGGGAGTATCTCAGTGAGCTGTGTCTCCTTATGACATTACTTCTATTCAACTAACAAGAGGGTGCCAAGGTGTCACTAGTGACAGGACCAATCTCAAGCAAGTTTGGGACTAGCTGCAGAATGGAGGCTTCCAAAGCTCAAGCCCACGTGTGCAGAGTCCAGCAAAAAGCTGGCTTATCACCAACCCTGGTGTCACCAGCTCATGTACTATGCTTGAGAACTCCTAAGGCATATTAACATRCTAAATCGCTTCTCATTGGCAAACAGATACACTAAGATCTCTTGCASTAAGACACTAATTACAGATATTCAATTGTCTTTACATGCTTGCATTTCTCTCTTTCACATACTGACAGAGAGCGGAATTATCAGCGGTTCACAACTGAAAAGCACTGCACCCCTTCTTCCCACCTCTCAATAGGGGRGACTAAGGCAGATAAGCTAAATAAAAGGTCCTTTTAACCCACACGTAATTCTTCCCCCCACCAGGAATGCACAGTGCAGAAAAAAAGAGGACAAGTAAAATTATATTCTTTATTCATTCCATTTTAGCTGTGGATATTCCTATTATACAAATACAGTATAAATTCCAAAATCACAATATATTACAAAATAAAAAAGTACAAACTGCATTACTTAATAAATATATCTAACAAGTTAATCAGAAAGTAGAAGAGACAGAGTTCAGATTGAAAACATTTAAATGTTTGACCCAGCAAACCATACAAACCTCAATTTAAGTGTTTTTTCTTTTCTTTTAAACCATGACATAGGATACCATTCCTGATTTCTTGATTAGAAAATAAAGTGAATAAAATGTTGTGATCAGATAATGATTTGTTGGTGAAACAACAGTGCCAAAAAAGAAGCAGGGCTTATACAAAAGACACCATAACCCCAGAAACAAGAACACAAACACTGAGGTGCAGCCAAGGCAATTACTGCCAAAGCAGGAGACTATTATCTAGTCACAACATTCTATTGCAAGTTAATGTTCTGTTATTACAGATAAATAATATAAATGGAGCAGAGGGCGAGCCAACCAGGCAACAAGAGGCCAGTTTACTCAAAACAATAATTAAATACAGAAGAGTCAATTGCTCCCTGTACTGTTCACGTGTAGCTGCATTCCAACTGCCTCAAAAGGACCTGTTCTGTGCTCCAGGCAGAGAAAGCAACTGTTCCTAAAAGCAATCTGTTCTCACTTTGCTGCACTTTTACAAAAGTCATTCTTTCAATTTTGCAAGAAAATACCCACAATATTTTCATCAACTGGGGGGTCAGTTTGACATCAACTTCATTTGGTAAAAATATAAGGTTTATGGGTAAAAAACACAGCAAAAAATAGCTGTTACATCATAAGCCTTATTTACAAAATCTGTTTACAAACGTTTTTTGGCTGTACAGCTGAAAGCCAGATACTAATGTAAGATGTAGAAGATGGAGGTAACAGTTTAAAAATAGTGTGCAAAAAATACATTCTCATAGAAAATAGACAGTGGGGAGGGGAGACACGAACATACACGGAGAAATCTGCTTGCAAATAACCCCAGCCTAAGTTTTTACAACAGAATATTACAAATACATCTTCATTTATCCCCCACAATCTACAATCCTTCTCAGTCTGGGGTGCTGCTGCTTCATTAAGGATTAAGGCATCACCATCACAGCCAGCACACCTTCTCTCTGTCTCAGTCCCTGCAGCAAAGCTCCCAGCCTGCAGCCCAGGCAGTCTCATGAGCAGGCATTCTGCTCAATGTACATCTTGGACAAGGACACTGCCATGGACTTGGCCAGCTCCTCATCCCGTCTGCGCTGTACCTGAGTCTGTCTGCACCACGCCTCGTACTCTGGGTTGGGGCACATGCGGTCCAGCACAGCATCGTAGTGCCCATTGCTAAGCCAGCTCAGCCAGATACTGGGCCGTGTCGGGTCCTCGGGCCCCAAGTAGTGAACCATGGTGGAAACGGTGGGGCTCTCGGGCCGGCCGCCCGTGGTGAGGTGGATGTTCACGTTCAGCATCTGCCCCATGGCCAGCAGCTCCGGGTAGCCGGCCCAGGCCCCGTCCTGGGCGGCGCCGATGAGRAACTCTCCCACGTCGCCCTCGATGATGGGGTTGAAGTGGTCTAGGTGGTCGGCRATGTAGTGCACGGTCTGCTCGCGGAGCTCGCCGTGCAGCCGCTGGTCCCCGTACACCGCCTTGCAGACGGCGCGGTACAGGCAGTTCCCGTCGGGGATGATATGGAAGCGGAACCGGCCCTTCTGCCGCAGGTACTTGTCCTGCTTCTCCACCTCGGCCAGGTACAGCGCCAACTTCTCACTGCGCTCCGTTCTGCCGCCGGGCCCCCGCCGCACGTCGGGCCCCGCAGCCTCCTCCTCCTCCTCGCCGGGCGCGGGGCCGCCGGGCTGTGCAGAGCTCCCGCTCCGCTCCGCGGGGCCGCAGCCTGGGGCCAGCCCGGGCTGTGCGCCGGCAGCCGCCGCCTGCAGCGCCTGGCAATGCTCGCTGAGCCGCAGGCTGCGGTTGCTGGGCTCATCGGCGGCGGCCTCTCCGTCGCCCCCGGCCTGCCGCACGCTCTCCAGGATGCCCTCCAGCCAGGCGCGGCTGCGCGGCGATGCCGGCACCAGCTCTCCGGCGGCCTCGGCGCGCTGCACGATGCGGATGGGCACGATCCGCTCCAGCGGCCGGCGGCGGCTGACGGTGACCTGCGCGCAGGAGCTGAACTGCGGGCCGGCCGCYGGCCGCCCGGCCGGGCCCGCCGCGGGGCCGCTCGGCATCACCTCCAGGCAGGACGAGAAGGCAGGCATGGCGGCGGCGCTGCTGCTGCCCCCCGCGGGAACGAAGCTGTCTTTGCCGGAGCTCTCGGCGACCGCGCTCGGGCCCGCGGCGTCTGCGCTCGGTGCCTCCGCGGCGGGGGGTCCGGGCGCTAAGGAGACCTTGAAGACGGCGGCGGAGCTCGGCGAGGCCGCGGCGGCTGCTGCGGTGGCGGCCGCCGGGTAGTGGGTGATCACCGAGCTGTAGAGCTGCATCCTCGGCTCCCCGCGGGCGGCGCTTTATAGGCGGCGCCGCCGTCGGAGCTGGGGCGGGGAGCGGCAGCGGGGGCCGCGCTGGGGCTGCCGAGGAGGATGAACCGCCCGGGTAAAAATAAACAAGGGCATCACCGCCCGCCCCGCCCCGCCCGGGCCCCGCGGCCGCGGCAATTCCGACTGCGCCACCGGGCCGGCCCCCCCGCGGGCTCCGGCCCTTCTGGAAGCTGCGGGAGCGCGGGAGGGGGGCGGGGCTGCCGCGGAGCGTCACCGAGCACCGCCCCTGCTCCTGCCTACGTGGGGTCGGTGTCACCGTGCTTCATGTGCGGCTCGGGCACGAGTAATGTTCATTGTGTTCATTCGCTTCTGGAGCGTCCCTGGCACACGCTGCTGTTTGTTCACCTGCAGTACCATTGTGGGAAATGCAGTGTATGCATACGACAATGTGTAATATAAACCAGCGCACGTTAAGAGGAGAGGTGCAGTCTAAAACATGGGTCTCATCAAGATCATTGATAATTGGTTTATTGATGCCTGTAGCACCTTAAAATTAGGCCATGTCTTCTAGCCTCAKCTGCGGTATAAATAAAGTCATACCTAAGCTCTTGTCCATGGACGGTGATTTGATCCATACACACTCAATTTGATCATTGTCTGACAGGCATGCTAACCAAGAAACACCAGTTTACGCTATGATCAAATGTTAACACATTCAGTCATTCCTRACAAAATGGGGAAAAGGGATTGACATATGTCATTTCAAAGTGATACTTAAAAACTATTCTGGATTCCACCCATAGCCTCAAGTTACTTCAGGAAAGTGTTAGTAATCCAAGCAGGTTGTAGAACTTTAAAAATAAACAGACAAACAGAAAACACTTTATTTGGATATTCTGAAAAAATTCTTTTCCTCATTCCATTTACATTAATTAAAAAGACAGAATAAGAGGATCACCTGCAATATACTGTAATGTCAAAAATAATTGTTTCYTTGAAGCCTTGGTTGTATTTTGTGTCCACATTCAGGGATATATTTCTTATCTTCAGTCCAGAGCTACCAGCAGCACAATGTGCAATTTCATTCTCTTTACACAGAAAACGTAATGTGATTCACCCAGCTAAATTGCATGTTGAAGAAAAAAAAGCTGAAATCCTTCATGCAAAGTAATGTCAATATTTATGGGAAAAGTTTTCACATACATCTTTTTGATTCTGGAAAAAACTCAGCAGTTTGTTGCATGCAATATTGGGAATCTTTYAATAAAAATTTACAGACTAATATACATCCAAAATTTTTGYCTTCAAAGCTGAAATGTAAGAAGCATGTCAGATATGAATCAAAGCCCAAATGTCCTCACTTACCTGCAAGAGCCAGCCAAAAAGTTGATATCTTTAGAACAAATGGTGATGGGCCTTATCCAGGAGCATTTCTGGCAGCCTGTTACAGGGGGATAAGATATTACAACTGCTCTGAAATTACAGAGTGACTCTTTATTTCAGAATGTTCAGAACTTTGTTTTAAATATAGCTTGTGAGCCCAGTCAGTGAGTATTTCTGGACTAATCATTACTTACACAGGAATATATATATTGATCAAATAGTAGTAAATTRAAATCTTCCCTCCTTGAAGGCTTGGAGCACAGGAAAGATTCCATCTAGTTTAATTTCTTACTCAAAACTTGACAATGTCTATTTCCAAGTTAATACATATACGTTTACATATATACTGATAGGAGATGTAATATAAAACTACTAGAAATTGCCGCCTTCCAAGTGGGTTTAAAATATGCCAGTTGCTCTTCATTGTGGGTTGGTCATTTATAAAGGTATCTATTACCTGATGCTCACCAGTTCTTCTGATACTTTTTTTTTTTTAGTTCAGAAGAGATATCTGTAGTTTGGTTTAGTGAATGTCTGTCTGCTAGTAAATGCCAGAGCTGAATACAGGCTGGTGGTTTTAAGTCTTCAACAGTACGGTAACAGAGAGGGGGGAGGGAGAGAGGCAGCTCTTTCTGTTAGAGAACAGTAAATGGATGCAGCAGAATAAGAGTACTCCTGGCAGAAGCAAGTGCTGCATTTTGARTACTCAGTACTGCAGATTTCTTTCTTCTAGGAWATTACAGAAACTCCTGCTAATGACTKTTCTGCCTCTCCATAACCATAGGTTATTTGGAGCAGTGGTACATTAATGGATGGGCAGCTGTTTAATTCTGATTGTTAGTCACAATGAGGTACAACTTGAAGTTTGTGCTGCTTCATTTGAGGAGAGAAACAGACTTTTGTATGCCCAAACTACCCTCRTGCTAGTATTCTGACACTCTAATGTAGAATGTTCTGGACAAGAAAACTTGTTTTTCTGAACAGAAATACAAGGAATATCCTTAAATACATGCTAAATAAGCCAGCAGGTTTTTATAATTGTAGCAGATAGAGTGTTCTTTTTTTTCTCTTTTTGCTTATAAACAGATACCTTTCCTATATTTTCAGTTAAAATGCACATAATAAACTAATAAGATTAAAACACAATCAAAATCTGTTGCTAAGTAACTGAGAGACAAAACAAACATTGTAACCACTGTCTTGGTGTTAATAATATACTACTTCTGATAYCTTTATTATGTCCTGTGTGAGGTAAATGGAAAGAGAAGCTCACCTTGGTGTATTTTACCTGTGTCATTATTAAACRCTGACAGTGTAATGCAACCAACATTTTTCATAACTGAGCAGCCAGAGTTAGTCACACGTACTTGGCCTGAGGGGAGTCCAGTCTCTCTGGATGACCAAGGACAAAAATCCCATTGAGCTCCTGCCACCTAGGCATCTTTCAAGTCTCATACTAGGACTTACCAAGAATCAGCACTTCYGAAAGGTAATTTTCTTAGATATCTGACAGGTTTTAACAATAACATCCTAAACCATGGTCTGCACTAGAGAGTAATCATAGAACGGCCTGGATTGGAAGGAATCTTAAAAATCATCAAGCTCCTGGTCACCTTCTGCTAGATCAGGTTGTTCAAAACTCCATCCAACCTAGCCTTGAACACTTCCATGGATGGGACACCTACCACCACCAGGTGCCGGACTTGGAATGATCAAGAGTTGTGAGTACAATTCTGGTGAAATAGAAATTTCAAAGGAATATTTGAATGSCTTTAATGCAATGGTATCTATAAAAGCCATGGGCACATGGTTCTGCCTTTAGTGCCTTTCACTACCAGAATATTAGTCTTTAACATTTCTTTCAGCTTCATATAGAACTGTTGTTAATTCCTAAGAGAAAACTAAATATTGCTTTATTATGATCCAGCTAAAACAAATGTATTCATTGCTTCAGAGTACTCCTGTATTTTCAACTTCTGTCACTTTAGCCTGCATGTTGTGGCCTCACAAGTACTAGAGGGGTTTGAAAAGTATGGATATGCCCTTCAGTGTTTTACACAGAGTAATATTCCTGAGCTTCTGGTTCACTCATTAAAGGGTAATGCACAGTCCTTTGCTATTGCAGAATAGATCTAAAAACAAGCTCTGTAGTAATAAAGCATAAACATCTCCCATGGTTAAAGTTTCTCTTGACATTACTGTTATCACTGGTTACCCTGCACATTCCAGGAATTGTTTAGATTGTTAGGAAGGCAAACCACAATCACAAAAACAGCTGTGGAASAACAGTGGTATTCACTGACGTAAAATGAAATGCATGAGAGTGGAACTATTTTTGACTTTAATATGTAGTAGATACATGATTGACATGGAAGAAACTAATTACATCACCAGRAACATTTGTTAGTGAAGACAGAAGAAGTTTGCTAAAATTATGTATTGAATAACACTGAATAAGCATTTCAATTGCTTCTTTTTTTGTTTTTTTGTTTGTGCTGACATAACAGCCCTTCAGACAAAGATATTTCTGACTGAAGTATTTAATGAATCAACAACTTTTTGTATGTAACTGGAAAATGAAATGTTGAATTTATACTAATAATCTGAAATGGGATGCCAAGGACAAAATTTGGAAATGACTAGAAAATAGAAAAATTTATCAAGGATCTTCCCATACAGGGAATAAATGAATATACACTTTAACTAGAACATACTGATAAAACATCAATTTTATCCTCTGTTGTGTGCAGGTCATCATGTCATGTCATGTCATGTCATGTCATGTCATGTCATGTCATGTCATGTCATATCATATCATATCATGTCATGTCATATCATTCCTTTCATAAAATTACTAGTTACAGGTAACTTATTTGGGGTATAGTCAGTGAGTGTATAAAGCTGTCACAGGTCAACAGCCCTGCCAAAAGAACYGATTCTGCTCTTTCCCATTCCCAGTCTCTTTTTCCTACTCCTGATGCCAGCTGCTTTGTGATGGCCTAAGTGTTAGTATTAACTAGAGTACCTRCTGTGTTTCACCCTAAATGCTAACATAAAAAGGAGAAAATGTATCCCCACTTACACTGAGGTGTGAAAATGTTGCATGAAACAAGGGCTGTGTCTCAGAGAGCTTTGCCTCACAATTTGTTGTTCAGCTTCTGCATATATTAAAATTTTATTCACTATATGGCGAACCAGTCATTAGAGACGTAACCAGTGCTATGACATCATGTGGCAAGAGTTTRTGGAAAAAGGGCTGTTGGTGATAAATATAGACATTTGCTCATGTCTCAAGGGCTCAGGTGGTATCCCACTTGMTAAGTGAGCCTCTAAATGTTAGCGATGACGCAGGTCAAGCCTCACATTTCTGCTCAGAAGTTTAGATGGCATTTGCAGTGATCATTGTGCACAGGGCCTTGAGATGATACCAGATTAAAGGGAGATCTACAATGCTGTTTCCTCTGAAAAAAWAAGGTAATAATGTGGTAACAATGTTACATAGACAAGCTTTACAACGTGTATGATGCTTAGAAAGGTTATCTTCTCWATTTTTTTATACCTTATAAAAGTGTTCACAATGTCTGGTTTATTGTCAGTTACAGGAAATYAGTCACCTTCTCTCCCTTTCATGTTGGTTAATGGCAATTTTAGGGTTGAGGAAAGTAGATATTTTGGCAAATGCTAAGAGCAGAACACAGTTCTGACATGGACAGACTGTGAAGGAGGTAGGGGAAATGGGCAATACAGAAACACCAAGAACAGGAAATCACCACTCACAATTACAGGAAATATTATTAATAGATTAWTCTTGATAAAAACTGGAAGCATAAAATAACTGTG